CCCCCCCCTCCTTGAAAGACCGAGCTTACCTACGAGGGCGAAGCTGTCTGTCTGAGGGAGGGACCACAGTCCGGGTGGGAGGGGCAGGTTGTGGAGGTCCCTTGGCTAACCTCTGTCGCTCGTAGTGAGCGTAGATCAGCGGTGCAGACGCTTTCAAATATGCTCCTGAAATCCACCGAGTGTCGTCGGGATCGCATGCTCTGAATGTAACTTTGTACTGGCGCGGCTTGCTGCCATACTTGCGATCTGAGATGACGCGGTCAACTTCCTGATGACCATCCATAGAAGGAGGGTCCTGCGATCGTCGGCCCGGGAAGTCATCGCTCTTAGCTGGTGTATATGTTGCCAGCTTTGACGCATGAAAGACTGGATGGACCGTCAGATGCTCAGGAATGCCGATCACAAATGAAGGGCCATCGGGCTCATTGCCCGCAACTGATGTCATTGTCCATGGTCCAAACCACTTAGGGAGCAGTTTGCGTAAGACATCCTGTTCCAATGCAAACTCTTCCGAGGAGACCCAAACTCGATCTCCGGCGCGGATGGGACATGGTACGCGGCGCCTGTTGGCTTGCTGCTGCATGCGGACTTGAGCCTTTTGCATGTTTGTGCGGGCTTGAGCCAGCAATTCCCTGTACTTCCGGACGGAAGCAGGAGAGCAAGCGGCGTCAATGTCGGCTGGTCGAGGGAGGAGAAGATCAGCGAAGATACGACCTTTCCGTCCACCGTGGTGCAACTCGAATGGAGTCACACCGATCGCCGGGTGCACTGAAGTGTTGTAGGCGAACTCGATGTCGAGGAGGCGGTCAACCCAATCCTTCTGGTCCGGACGGATGAGCGTACGAAGCATCATTTGAGCGGTCTGATGTGCCCGCTCCGTTTGCCCGTCTGTCTGTGGATGCCGAGCCGAACTGGGTTTCATCGTCGTGCCGGACTCCTGCATGAGAGAGGTCCAAAAAGTCGACATGAAACGAGTGTCGCGGTCGCTGACTATGTCCTCGGGTACGCCGTGGCCACAAATCCAACCGGTGTGCAAGAGGCGTGCCAGCTCGGGAGCCGTGGAGTAGTACTTGCAAGGAAGAAAACATGCATACTTGCTCAATCGGTCCACAACCGTGAGGATGCCGTCGTGCCCGAGCCGGTCTCTAGGAAACGGACCGGTGACATCCATAGCAATGGAGATACCGGGTTCCCGGGGGATAGGCATCGGGCGTAACTCGCCATAGGGATTGCGGTTGCGGGGTTTGCTGCGTCAGCAAACTTCGCAAGAATCGCAATACCGCATGACATCGGAAATGAGATCGGGCCATCGGAATCGTTGTCGAAGCCGTGCAATCGTGCGATTGACTCCGAAATGGCCGGCGAGTCGCGAATCATGATWCTCGYCGAGAAGGCRAGYCCGAAGACGGCGGTCGCGTGGGACACACAGTAAGTCCTTGCCTCTCGAGTGGAGGAGCAAGTACCCGTCGGCAATGCGATAGTGGCTGGCCGGCGGGTGATCCGAAGATAGCTGCGCATACAACGTAGCAAACTCTGGGTCAGACTGATAGCCCCT